TCGACTTCACACAACTGGCGGAGTACGCCGCAATATACATACCATGTTGCGGCATCCTACTCAGCCAAGCAGGATCGCTTCAATGCGGAGCAGAATCTGTTTACACGACCGCTGCATGACCCCAGCAGTAGCAAGGTTGAGGACCTGCGCGAATGCAAGGAGGCCATAGACAAGCGGAAACGAGCGAAAAGTGGCCAGGATGCTTTCTTTTTCAGCCAGGTGGGAAACACAAACACCACAACATTTGGTGTTGCAGATGGAGTGGGAGGATGGGTCGAGTCTGGATTGGACCCCGCCGACTTCTCTCATGGATTGTGCGAGTACATGGCTTGCGCCGCGCGCTCATGGCCACACGGATTCAACACGACAGCATTACACCCGAAAGACCTGCTCCAGGTCGCGTACGACGAGGTCACGGATGATGACACCATTGAGGGTGGTGGTAGCACCGCATGTCTGGCTGTTGCCGAACCGGATGGCAACGTCGAGGTAGCCAATCTGGGAGATTCAGGATTCATGCATCTCGGACTCAATGCCGTACGACATTTCACGCAGCCTCAGACGCACGCCTTCAATACCCCGTATCAGCTTTCCAAAACTCCCCAGCGCATGCTCGTGCAAATGGCCGTATTCGGAGGCCCATCCACACTCTCGGATATGCCAAAGGAGTCGAGTATAACGCACCACAAAGTACGCCATGGCGACGTTCTCCTCTTTGCAACCGATGGTGTGTGGGACAACCTGAGCCCACAGGATGCGCTCGGTATTGTCAGTCGTCATATGGTCGACCTGGGTGCTTGGGTCGAGAAAGATGGCACCATTGAGGTTGGACAGGATCTAGCAAAGCTGGTACAGGCCGACTCAGCTCGTAAAGCTGATAGCTCCTCCCTCCAAGCCAAGGTGGCTGTCGCGGTCGCGAAGGAGGCAAAGGTGACGGGGCTTAACACTCGTCGGGATGGCCCCTTCGCCAAAGAAGTGCAACGATACTACCCTGGGGAGAATTGGCACGGTGGCAAACCGGACGACATTGCTGCCGTGGTAGCTGTCGTGCTTGAGGATGCACCGCAGCGCGCAAAGCTATGATTATATGCATTAGATCTCTGTTGTTTGGCTGCATGGGTAGGCGATGGCGTTATGGAGAGGACTCAGGCGCGGAATCGGAGGCGCATCTGCGCATGCCACTATGGGTTGGTAATCGTCTTAGCGTATGAAGTTCAGTGGTGGTTACGAATGTTTGAAGACTAGATAGCGACATCAAAAGATCGTTCATTACATTGGGCTCTTACGATCCATCTCTTGTGTAGACGCAGAGAGTGAATCTGAAGCTGGGTGTGTTTAGATCACGGTATCCATTTGTTGTGGTTCTATGTCAAATTAAACCTCGAGTTTGCATATTTCGTGCGACATAGCCCTCAAGTTGAGGCAGTCTGCCCAACTTTCACATGATGCATGCATGTACTGTAGACAATGTAGACTATCGGCATCTATGCCATACTCCTACTCGCTATATTGATCATCTATCGACTACCTAGGTACTGATGCTACCATGTCTTCGTCTGATGACAGTAGGGTCATGCGTCAGAGCACTGATTGCTGCAACGTCTAAACGTCAAGACAGATAGAATGCACAGGCAGGCCTAGTCTTGCATAGCGAAGCAGCTTTGACGTCAAACGTGTGGGGCATTTTGCAGCATGGTGCCTCGGCTGTTTGTTTATCGCAGTTACCTCAGCAACGCGGCCACGCGAGTCTCAGGATTCGCGCGCTACCTAAGTATCATGAACGCCAACTTCACCCCATCTTTACCACGAAATCGCCCGCCCACCTTCCGGATGAATGCGCAACTAACCCTTAGCTAACAATCGCTATCCACGTAACCCGACCAGCACATAGAAAGCAACGCGCTTGCCGAATCTCGACGCGACAACCGAATGGCTACACTTTCTCCCACGCCCTCATATGGGCGCATGCGTGCGCATTCCTCAATACGACCCAGGAGAGACTCTCCGCTATCCGTACTGGGGCAGTCGCAGGGCTTCTCAGCGGACGCGCCTATGATGCAGAACATCAACATTGGCGACAGCTCCGATGACGAGATACCACAACCCATGAAGCTCAGCGCTTTGACGACGGCACTTCTTGCGCAAGGCAGTGACGTCGATTCGCCTGAGAAGAGGAAACCCAAGCTGAAGATATCGCGCAATGCCTCTGGCTCCAACACGCCAGTGCAGGACACCGTCACACCTGCACCAAGTTTGCGAATAAAGCGAGTGCCACTGCGAGGTGCGCCCATGAGACGGTTTCGGAGGACGCCTCAGAGCGAGGAGGAACACCATCCCTCTCAAGACCAGGAGAACATGCCCATCTCCGCGGTCAAGTCGCAGCCTGAGAACGTCCCCGATTCCGTCCTGAAGGTGACCGGTTCCGTCATGAAGGTTGCAGAGGATCGCCATATGCAACCGCAGCCAGAGCACCAGTCACCGATACAACGATCTTCGCAGCAACAAGAAAAGCAGATGCCGCTCCAGGCGCTAAGTGCGAACACTCCACGACGACCGGCACCTCCGCCGCCGCCGAAGATGTCAGTGTTGGAGACGGCGACTACTGCTGCCGGAGCAGCCACAACAAAGACGAGAGAAAGAAAGAAGAGGAGCACACTATCAGTCAACGGAAAGCATTACTCGCAAATGGACAGGATAGGAAGAGGAGGCAGTTCGGCCGTGTACCGCGTCATGGCAGAGAATTTCAAGCTTTTAGCGCTGAAGAGAGTCAAGCTTGAGGATGCAGACGAGGCCACTGTACGGGGCTTCAAGGGCGAGATCGACCTCCTACAGAAGCTGAAGAACGTTGACCGCGTTGTGCGACTATACGATTGGGAGGTCGATGAGCAACGTCAAGTGCTGAGTGTGGTACGTGTATCTTGAAACAAGGCAAAGTGCTATGCTAACATGCACCAGCTCATGGAACTCGGAGAATCTGACCTCGCCCGTATAATACGAATGAAGCTCGATCCCGCCGACGGAGACGGCAAACTAGACCTAAGCTTCACACGCTACTACTGGAAAGAAATGCTCGAATGTGTCGGCGCAGTACACGACCACGACATTGTCCACTCTGACCTGAAACCCGCAAACTTCCTGCTCACCTCAGGCCGCTTAAAGCTCATCGACTTCGGCATTGCAAACGCCATCGAAGTCGACCACACCGTAAACGTGCACCGCGACTCACACATCGGTACCCCAAACTACATGTCTCCAGAGTCGCTGGAAGACTCAGCAGGCGGCGCCCGAGGCCTGCTCTCCAACGGCAACGGCTCCAAGGACATGGCGCTCGGCAAACCCTCCGACGTCTGGAGTCTAGGCTGCATCCTCTACCAAATGGTCTACGGCCGCCCTCCCTTCGCACACATCACCAACCAAATGGCGCGCGTCCTCGCCATTGTAAACCGCGACTACAAGATCGAAATCCCCGACCTCGGTGTCGGCGATGTCCGCGTCCCTCCCGGCCTCAAAGCTACGCTTCGCCGCTGCTTGCAACGCGATGCCTCGCGCCGACCAAACGTAGCCCAACTCCTCGACGAGCGAGACCCATTCCTCTACCCCGACGGCGGAGAGGACCTGAGAATACCACAGGAACTACTCGGTCAAATCATCCAACGGGTCGCAGATCGGTTTAGAGATCCGAATAAGAGCCCGCCCACCGACGATGAGATTCGTCAGTATCCAGCGAGTTTCTACGAGAAGATTAGACAGTTGCTGGAAAGCGACTGATCTTTGTCTTTCTTCTCTTTGTTGTAATCTTGTCTTTTCTTGGTGCTCCGTTTGCGGACACTGGCATGTACATACACGCCTTGTTTTCTTTGTCTCTTTTCCCATCATCATCATCATGACGACTTGGCGCTGGGGTTTCTTTGCTTATCTCCATCTTGGGTTGTTTGTTCTTGCTGCAGTCAGCTGCTACATTCTTGCTACCCACTTCTGTTCGCGCGGTATCGCCGCTTTTTGGGCGTTGAAGCGTCGCCTTCCTTGCCAGGGCGTTCTATTTGTTTGGAAAAGGCGCATTGTCTCTCTTCGTTGGATGAACTCATGAATGGCGGTCTCACTCTAGTCGCATACGGTTTCCTTGGTTCGTTGTATATACCCGTGTTGGAGAGTTGGGGAAATCGATTCTTTTAATCGTTCATTGGATGACTTCATGCTGCTTAAGTGATCGCGATGATTGATGTGTAGCAACAGACAGCAGTAGACCTCAGTGGTTTCTATATACACTCTTGACGCTCTGGCCTATGATCCTCAAGCAAAATAAAACTGTGTCAAAAGCACATGATTATGTATCAAAGAGGCAGGTACTTTGGGAGTTGCTGGGTGCACGCAATGTACCTAGAATACCCTTCGAGAAAGGAACTCGAAGCGTAGTCCCGTGAATTGTACCTCTAGAAATCCATTTTCACGTTGGGAACTGTCTTGCCGATCATGGGTCTCATCACTTCGCACCGCAATACCTTCTCAAACAGGCATCTATCTGATGCGAAGGACTTGCACCCAACGGTTGCTTCTTCCTGGTTCATATGAAAAAGAAGGAGTGGTGCCCAAACGTCCTGCTTCCAGGGTCCTAGACCAGCCGCCATAATTGTCATCAGGAGTAGTAACCCCATCCATCGCCTCTCCATTCATGACATCACATATATAGGCTGGGGAAACCACGAGGAAGTGTAAACCGGTACGCCGAAGAACCATGGGTGTTGGACAGCCAAATAGAATCCATATCTCGTCATCAATCTCCACCAGAGCTTTCCCTTCCGTGATGGCAAGAGTGGTGGCAGTAGATGTTGAAGCCAAACATCCGGATGACAAAGTCTTGTGTGCTAGCTGGACGAAATGCCCGAAGCGCTCAGTCTGGTTATGTGTTTTCTGAATAGCAGCGGATAGACTTTCGAGGTCGAGCCAGCGAAGACATGGAGGGCGGAGATCACGGAACTTGCGCAACGCTCGAATGGCAACTTTTAAATCTCTCTGGGATTGATCATAGACGTTAGTTGCGTAAGGGAGCAGATCGACAATGCGAAGCCCGGGAGTAACTAACGAGTAACCAAGCAGGATACCCGTGTAAAGAACGATTTCGTTGCGGCTGAAATAGTCAGGACCTATGCGGAGCTCGGAAATGGCTGGGCCAGTGATTGTGAATCCGAGCTTCTTGACATCGTCCGAATGACATCCAGTGGACCCATTGGCAGAAATCAATAGATGTGACAAGACTGAGAGTGGAGAGAAGGCGTTGTTGGTAGAAGAGAGTGTTCCGTTGACTTTAGCATACCGAAATCCCCTAGCGCGTAGAACATCGTCTTCGTCTTCGAGACCCGAAAAGGGTGTATGGTACATAGGCAAGTTACCTGCGGCGTGAAAAGGGCCTGAGAAATAGTCTGCGTTTCCCGGTAAACCCCAATCTGGAACCCATGAAGGCAAGCCCTCGACAGTAGGATCTGAGTTGTTATGAATTCTTGCCAGGGCCAGAAACTGGAGGTCGTTGCATTTAAATGGCAGTAGTCGAGTGACGCGTGTGTAACGTTCAGTGAGGCTCTGTTCGTAGCTCGTTTCGGTTCCATCGTCATCATAGTCGATGACTAGGTTCAGAGTGGCAATCACCCGATCTCTTGCTTCCGTTGCGTTCAAGGCCTGTGATAGCCGCAACATACCCAACAAATAGATCGGACTTGTGCTAAGCGACGGACCCCATTTGATGGGATCAAGCTGCCAGGCCGCCTTTGGCTTGAGGAGAGAAAAGTCTGGTTGGAGAGTATGTGGATCGACTGGCACCTTGTTCTTCATCATCTCCCGCCAATAAGCCAAGTTTCGTGCAGGAGCCTTGGTGGTTGACACTAGCGGTCTGAACAGACTCCACACATTGTCTACGCCGAAAGGCCCCTCGTCACGAGCCGACTTTCGAAACATCTGACGTTGGAATGCCATCAAGCGTTTACCGGGGATAGCTATTCCCCAGCAGTGGAATACCAGTTTCGTGGCGAAGGCAAGTTCTTGTTGTATCCAGAGTCTGTCCCAATACTCGTTTTGAATAAGTGGGAGAAGTGGCTCCCAGAATCCAGGATCGTCGCCCAGCTGATCCTCAGTGCCTTGTAGGTGAAGAGTGAGGAGCCTTTTAATGACAGGACTCTTAGGATCAAGCTCCACATCAATCCAGACCCTCACAGTTTTGGATCGAGAGTATATCTCTTTCATAAGATAAACCTGATTACCGCGTTCTTCATCGTCGCTTTGATTAATGCAAACAGCGTCTGCCCAAATATAGCGCACACTGTGTGGTAGACGCACATGCCTCAGAGCATTCTCGAGTGACGGAGTCACAGGGAATGGATTGTCCTTGAGGATTATTCTACCCGTGAATTTCGGGTCTCCACACCTGTACGAGAGTGCATCGTATACTGGGTTGCTTTCGAGTGCCGCAGTGCGCAATCGGCATCGTAACGGATCGCTGAATTCACCAGGGAGAAGCTCGAGGATTCGAATATTGCCCCTCGTCTCCATGCGGTATTTCTCAACCGAAGCAGTGAGGCATAAAGCATCGTCAGGTAAATCTGGCGGAGGGAAGGTTCCGTCATTCTTGACCAACCATCGAACACCGTTTCCCAAAGGTAGGTAATTATAAGTTCCAGGATACTTGTTCATTTTGAACGGCTTCTGGTCACGCTGTCTTTCGAGCTGTTTTGTCGCTGTAATATCGCTCCGTGGAATAAAAACTACCAGGGTGTATAATCAGTCGTCACCATCGACAGGAAAGCGATGCAGTACATACCTAGGTACTCACATATCCGCTCGCGCAGCAGCTCCAGCGGTATAGTTAAGGCGCATGGATAGACTTTGCACGACGGCTGTTCCGAGCACAACAAGCAGACCAGACAAATTAGATAAGACCCCAAATACTACACCGCAGATAACCTCAAGGCACTGATGTTCAATGCTGATAGCGATAGACCATACCTGGGCACTGATGCGCATCGAGCGGGGCTAAAACTGAGGGCACCAGTAGCATGTAAGCTGGCTCCAGATGTACTGCAGCTATGTTGCATGCGTGCAGCATTCGATGAACACATGAAGGAGTAGGTAGATTCGTGCTCGTTCGAAGTAGAAGGGGCCAACCAGCTTTCCTTCTTTAAGAGGACAATCCTGAATCCGTGGATGGCCATCAGAGAATGTCACCCCTAGGACCTCTCTGGACGAATGTTAATTGAAATTGGGAATATCCGCTATAGAGCCATGAATCCTGCACCTTAGCCTAAAGATAACGCCATATGAATGCTCCCTGTCCAGTGAGAACGCCAAAGCGATGCTACATATAACAAACACCACTACCCAATGTTCATGACCAACCCTTCATGAAAAGCGCAGAATCTAGGGCAAACATGATCACTCATCAGCCTCCTCGTTCAGCTGCTTACGCTTGATTGCAAGATCCGCCTTCTGCTTGTCGATTTGGGTTTGTGCGCGCTTCTTGAAGAGGAAGTTGGTGTGTCTGTCGCGTGCTTCTGTGCTTTGAACAATAGCTCTCTCCAACTCTGCGATTTCGCCCCGAAGCTGCTCTTGACGCTGTTCCTCCGCTGCGGCGGCTTCGTCCACCTCATCGACGTCCTCATCGGAATCTTCGTCGTCGTCATCATCATCGTCGTCTGCAGACGTTGCGGCTGCGGGTGTAGAGGCTGCCGTCTCGGTTTCGACAACCACGTTTCCGTTCTGGCTGAGAGCGTGCATGGCGACGTCGTGAGCGGTGGTTGGCGTGTCGGCTTGTTCGACTTGCACGTTGTCGTTGTTTGCGAGCAAGGCCTTCAGTTGGTCGTTGTCGCCCTGGAACTCGACCTCGTCGTCCATGAGTCCTTCGGCAAGCATCTGCTCCAGTTGGTCGGCATCCATTTCTTCTACTTGAGTAGCGTCTGCCATCTCCTCATCGTCGACCTCCTCTTCCGAACTTGACTCCTCTGAGCTCTCGGCTTCACTGTCTACCATTTCATATTTGGTTGATTCAGCAAGCTCGTCAGCTTCCAGTAGTCGGTGTAACGATGCTTCGGCGCGCTCAACGTCAATGTACGATTTGCGAGGGCGGAAGCGTCGCTTGCGAGCCCACTTCATAGGTGGCGTCAGACCATGGGGAAATCGGTGCGTGTCTGGGGAGATGTAGGATGGAAGCGGGTACTTCTTCGCTTCCTCTTCATTCTTAACTTCGTCCAGGACGAGCAGCATCTGGCAGACGTCTGCGGTCTTGACCCAGTCCTTCTTGTTCCAACTCTTCAGTGACTCTATAACTGCGGGTAGCTCGACCATAGTCGCAGCGTAGTGGCGACCTTGTACGGTGAGCATAGCTCGACGGCCCTCGCGGTCGAAGAATCGGAAGTGTACGCCGGGCCCTCCCTGTGACACACTCTTGCCGATGGTTTTCTCTTCGATAGATTTGCGCAGTAGATCGCAGTCTGGGCCTGGCTTCATGCGCAGCACAAACTGAGATTCGATAGCCGGGTCAGGTTCCGCCTCTTCTGCCTCGCTGTCGTATCCGACACCATATGGTCTGACTGGCGGCTTTCCTGCGCCTTTGACCTTCAGAATGGCTGGTCTCGCCGAGGTCATGCTTCCCTTCGGTTTAATGGAGAGCTTGATAGACTGAGTGCGGTTGTGTGACTTGATAGGCTGGGGCGGAGGTTGTTGGACCGCGGCGTAATCGTCGTCGTCGTCGCCGCTGTCGTTAGCCATGGCGAGGCTCTTCGCGGTGGGTTTCGGCTTGCGCTTCGCGGCAGGTGAATCGACATCGTCGCCGTCTTCGCGTGCCCTCTTCTTGGGTCCAGGCTTTCCCGGGGGAATAACGTTGCCGCTTTCATCGAGTTTGGGCTTCTTGGTGTACTTGCGCTTGACTTTGGCACCTTCGCCGTTCTGACCATCGGCAGGCTCACCAGCCGCGGGTCCTGAGGGTTTGAACTTGATTTTGAGGCCTCCTGGCTTCGCGGAAACGGGTGTAGGCGCGTCGGCCGGGGGAGGTGCGGCGGGCGGCGCATCGCCAGAAGGCGCATTCAGGTTCTTGAGTTTGAGTTTCATCTTGGGCGGCGATACGGGGAGTTTCGTTGTTCAGGACGGAGATATGGGACTGCGCGCCTGGGTCCGCGGCATTTGCGAGGGCGCGCGGTGGTGTTGAAGCTGGGGTGGGTGAGTCGGAAGCGTTGGCATTCCACGGGCGGCGGCCTTGGCGGTCACCGCAGTGAAGGGCCAAAGCTTTCCAGTCGCGTACCTTCACTTTCCTTACACTCGCTGCGCCGGACAGTCCCACCATGCGCCTGCTGTTCCCGCCCTAACAGCACCACACCACAGCGGACCTCTGCATCTTCCATCGCCCGCACCGCCGCCAGCATGTCCCAGAACGACCTCTTCCTCAACCTGCTGCGGCCCGCCGTCCTCCACATTCTACGCGCCACGGGCTTCCAGCACGGCAAACCCTCGGCCGTCGACACCATCGTAGACCTCACGGCACGCTATCTATCTCTACTAGCAGAGCGCACCGCCTACAATGCCTTCTCCAACCACAACGACCTCACCCCAGACATTAGCGATGTGCGCATGGCAATGCAGGACTGCGCCCTTCTCGTGCCCACCATGACAGCCGGGGAAGAACTGTGGAAAGAAATCCTGCGCAAACCCCTCGATGAGTACAACGAGGAGACGGGCGCCCGCGAGAACGAGGCAGCCCGTCGCGACGCCGAAGACACAGCAGATGTGACCGAGTTCATTGAATGGGTCAAAGGCGACCAGAACAAGGAGATCAGGCGCATAGCGGGTATCTACAAGCCAGTTGCGACGAATCCCACAGAGCAACTTGACCAGGAGGAAATGGAGGACTATTTGAATAGTATGTTAATCAGCTCTCTACATACCTACACACTTGCTAACTACGTTCCTAGCTCTCATGAAGAAGCACAGCAAGACAGGCGTCGAATCACGTTTCCAAGGCACCGTTCTGGGAGTCCCAGCCGAACCCAAGACCATCAAGATCGAAGGAGGAGGCGCCGAATCGATAGAAGAGTGGTGTCGCAGAACCCGTGAAAGAGCCGCCAAAGCCGCCGAATTGAAACGAGAGAGCCGCGAAACTACAAACACCGTCGAAACAAGGGAGCCCTCGGCAGACGTGGAAATGGAAACGGAGTGATATCTGGCTGTTCATATTACAAGCATAGCGAAGGCGTTTGGTCAGGAATCATCTTTAAGGCGTTCAGAGATATCTAGGTTATGGGCTGGTCGGCTTTGTAGCCCACAGGGTTACTCCATGGGTTTGTTGGGAGTTCGAGCTCGCGTGCTCATCATTCCACGGCCTGTAGTGGTTACAGTGCGTATACCTCTATCATACATTAGGTGATACGAGGTTGTGGCGGTGGTATGATATTTATTCCTACAATCAGCAGCATTACACTAGTTGAGTAAGGTCGTCCGAGGCGTGTTTCATTAGCAAGCACGCTCTGCGTTCTAGAGAAGTACTGAACCCGCCACCTACTATATCAGCAAGTAACCAACAATACTACATGTACTATATATGTATGTACAACTCAGAAGTCTACATCAATGCACCGTTCTTTACCTCAGTATGTTGAGTTTATTGTAGGCGGCAGCGCAGACGAAGACCTGCGTGTGTCTATCTGGTTTCTGGTTGCACGGCCGCATGCGAGTTTTGGGACCGATCTCGCACCTAGTCCTCCCGCCATCGTGCCGCGCCGATACCAATGACTACGAGACAAGACTAAAACGCGGCTCAGACGTTTGTTTTCCACGTCCTCACATGACAACGGCGCGCATTGGTGGGGCGGGAATGAATGACGGGCCCACCCCGCAGACGTCATAGCAATGGCAGATAGCCAAAACAATATCCTCGACAGCTCCAGCCTGATTTCCCATGTACAAACCCAATCCACGTAATTTCCAACCTCACATACTCTGTACACCCAAATCCTCATTCGTCAATTGACATTCTACGTACCCACAACCACAATCACATCTACGAACACCAACCATGTCCGGTCTCGATCCCCAGGGCCCTTCGCAGCCCTCCCTAGACCAAGCCTACACCACACCCGGCAACCCAGCGCAAAAAGACCCAAAAGAGCAAGTCCAAACAGAGTTCAACGCCACCGACAACGCCGCCACCGTCGACCAACGTATCCCCACCAAGCAAGCTACCGACGCCGAGGGCCTACGGAATGCAAAGTTCGAGGAAGGCATGGGAGTCCACGGCGCACCAGCGGGTGAAGAGAGGAAAGGTCTGACCCATGAAGACGTAGGAAGGCACAAGGAGTTGGACGGGCAACAAATGGCTGCGCCAGGCGAGGGACGTGTAGCCGATGCGGTGGCTCAGGGTGGGAAGGGTCTGGGTGGTGGTGGAGAGCAGCCTGATCTGGCGAGCGATCTGGACAGGTGAGTGTTGGATACTATATGAGTGGGTTGGATGTGTGCTAACAATCGAATAGGAAGAAGGCTGAACAAGCCGAGGCGAGAGAGGCTATTAAGCAGTCAAAGGGCGAGGCAACACAGGCTGGTGGTGCATTGGGCCAGACTGGTGGACCTGCCAACCCTGTTGACAACTCGACACAGGGTGGTGGTAACTACCCCAACTCTAGTTACTAGGTCTTTCTGGTCTAGAGGCGGAGCGGAGGACGCTATCTTGGGTTGTATGGGCTTCTTGAAGAAGTTGGCTAGTATACCTGCAGGCTTAGGGAATAGCAGGAGCAATGCACACGATATGCCATCAAGTCAATGTTCATTATCAGTCATACGACCCCTTCGTTTTGAAAATGAACAAAAGTACACGAAGGCTTGTTGTTTGTAACCTACAATATAAACGACTTGCTGACGAGCATCTTGGTGACAGACATGATAATCGACAAAGGTGGGTAAAGACGTCGTCAAGAATCTATTCAGAGAAGACATGCGAGTATAGGAACACATCTACTTACTGTTTGTTAAGATTGAAGGCAAGCATTGTAAAGCTAGGTCAGAAAGGAAATTATAGAACCAAGCATCACACCAACGCAGACATGTTTATTTTGATTATTGTATTTTTCTTTCTTTGAAGCCCGGTAGCAATAGCTACGCGAGCATTGACGTTATGCGACAGTAACATCGGTACGTTATGTGAGCGCCCCTAGGGACAGCGTCACTCTCTATAAGCCCAGCAAATCTCTATCATGTACGTCGACGAGCGTGAATAGACAAAACCAAGAAAGCGCCAAGATGCAGACCTACCACAGCTGCTCCATAGAAAGTCAAACTGGTGGTCAATACATCGAACGCCGAAGATGAAAAAAGCAAACAGCGCGGACCCAACGTTATATACATCAACGACTCAAAGAGCCAAGCGAAAGGGGGGGGTGAGGGAGGAAGAGGAAAAGGATACATGGGCTCAAGGACCCATGTACGCGTCGAACTGGAAGTTACTCATGTCGGTCGGGACAGGGAGGTTGGGGTCGAAGAAGGTGTTGTTGTCAAACACCATGGGCTCATTCGCATGCATGTTCATACCGTAGTCCATGTATTGATTTGGGTCAATAGGGACTTGGTCCATCATGGGTACTTGCATGGGCATGGCCATGGGAAGCGGCTGTTGCGACGGAGGGTAGGCGGCAGTGGGAACAGAGATGTTGTCGACTTCATACGAGGAAGTGTCGAAGGTGTTGTCGATCTGTTCAGACGCGTCGTTGTCGGAAGCGCTTTCGGGCGACTGAGGGGTGGGCTTGTTGTCGACCTCCACCTCTTTGATCCAGTTTTGCTTGAGATACTCCATGGGCGGGTGGTCTCCGCCACCGATGCCACCACGCTTCTCGTCGTTCTTGCCCTTCCTGCCCCTCTTGCGGGGATGGAAGTGCGCACGGCGAAGATGGGCGGCAGCGTTGTAGTACGCACCATACACCTTCTTGTTACGGCAGTGCTTACAGTTGGCGAGGAACTTCTTGTCGGCTGAAGAGTCGACGCAGATGTAGCCCTTCCTGCGAGAGGCATGGGCGCGAGCAATGTGACGGTCAAGCTCATGTGTGCCACGGAACCCATCGGGTCGCTCGTTGCAGAAATTACACTTGATCTTTGGGTGTTGAGGACGCACGTACGGTGTCTTTGACAGGACACCGACAGTCTTAGAGGATCCATCCTCAGACCTTATCCTTGTCATCTGAGCATTTGATGACGCAGACTCGGTCGCATCATTGTTGTCGATTGCCTTCGGGGCAATCTTGCGAGACGCAGCTTGCGCGTTGATCTCGCGTTCGCGTTGCGATTGACGAGAGTTGGTCGATGAAGGTGCAGAGACCTCGCTCGAGTAACCCTCGCTTGATGAAGCTGAAGTCGACCTCCGCATATCCTCCGCCAGGCACGACTGATCGTTGTCGGAAGAGGCAAGTGCATGCGCACTTGCAGGAACAGATGAAGAAAGGAAAGCTTCACTGGAGGAGCCAGTGAAGTTGAGAAAATGAGAACCATCAGCGGACTCGCTGATGGGCTTTGATGCGACGTTAAAGGAATAAGGAAACGACCCATCCTCTGGGAGGATGGGCATACATGAAGAATTTGACTGATTGCGCGACATGGAAATGTTATCAAAAAACAGAGGGTTGTAACTACCCTGACGACTCATGTTACTAGATTGAGTAACAGGCGTCATCAGAGCGGTTGACGGTGTGCTGGGTGAAGAGGCGTCCGAAGACGAACTCCACTGCAAGCTGGGTGTCAGTTGCAACTGTTGTGAATGCTGGGGGGTGGGGAGGGAAGATGAGTTGTCTGGCTGGATGCAGCTGCTGACGTAGTCGCCAACACTGTACTCAGCGATGCTGTTGTAAGCAGTCTCTGGCATCGACTGGAGAGTCGGCTGTCTTCGCATGGAAGTGTCAGAGTAGAGCGTGTAGTCGGTGTTGAACTCTTGGGACATTGAAGGCCAGTCAGAGCAGGTGGTGTTTGAGCGGTGGAGGTTGTCGGTCATGGCCGAGTCTGAGCGGTTCATGACGGGAGCAGAACGAGTCCTGTCCATTGATTCGAAACCAGTTGTCTAGTGGGTGTTAGATCAGGGACGAGGAGACCAAAAATGTGTCCATACTGGGAGCTGGGTCATATTTGACGTGTTGAAGGCCATTGACCGTGGGACCTGGTGGGCCATGGAGGGTTGCGACGGTTGGCAGGCAGCCTGGAACCACGCGCGGTTTAGCTCCTCCTCTGAGAGGTGTGCGTTGCTCATGCAGAAGTCATGCTTGGCTTGTTCGAGGAAGGCGACGTAGGTATTACTACTACTACTGCTACTGCTCGCAAGAGTCGAGGCCATGACGTCTGAGGGGTGGTGGGATAGGATGGTAAGAATAGTGGTAGCGGTGTAAGAAGCAAGCTGGGCGAAACGATGATCAGCAACAACGGCCAAAGAAGGGCTTGTCTGTGCAGGAAAATCTTACGGTGGTGGTAGCTGGTGGTGGTGAAGAAGGAAGCAAATGGGGTAATGTCAGAATTGCGAGGCGATGAATAAGTGAGAATGCGGGTTGCGAAGGGGAAGATGTGCTTTTAGCACCACCTGGGTGCATGGGGGACGAGCGATGCGCTGGCTCGTGTCAGAGAGCGTCTGACGAATGCGGCCCGCGCTGAGCGGTGGACGAAGGGCCAAGGTGAGCTCAGAAGGGCTATCCTCGCCGGCGATCGATGCCATCCGTCTGGCGTTTCATTGGACATAAAGGGGCGGACGCAATTTTCATTCGCTGCCTCACTTTTGGCACACGGAAGCCAACACCGTGGCCCTGGCCACTCGATCCTGGGGACTCCCCAGTGCTACCCTATCGTGAACCCACACTCGGTGAGGGACCACCAGGTTTCATGCGTCCATTCGCATTTGGCAAACTGTGCTGTCAGTGGCAGAGGCGTCACCCACACGTTTTTCCTCTGGCGCCGCGCCAATGTCCGTCTTATTCCCAAAGCGTCTACCGCACGGCTGAATCGCCAGCCATCAGTCGTCATCGCCCATGGGTACGCGAAATGCGGAAACGGCGGATCGCCATCAATTTTCTTCCTCGCGTTAGACATGTCAGCAATTGAAGAGTCCAGGCTCAATGATCGTCTCCCATACTGGCAACCGCCAGCCCATGTGTCGTGAACTACCCGTTCAGGATGGCACCTCATCGCGATCACACCTTGGCAGAGCATCACCCCAGGTACCCAGGTACCCCGGCCTGAATCGTGGTACGCGGCTCATCTCCCTAAGGTTTGATTGATCCAATCTACACTATTGCTATCTTGGTCATGAACTTTCCGTCTGTTGTCCCCGACCTGCAGGGGATTTGAGGAAGGCTGCGCCAGGAAGGCCTGGTGATAGCAGTCCTCGCAGCCTGCTCCGCTTACGTTTTTCTGGTGGGTGCATAGAAACCACAGATGACGCGGACGAGAACGAGGACTTCAACCTGGGAGGACCTTGTGTGATACGGGGACCCATTGGCCCTACCTCCCTCACGCTTGATACGCTTGCCTTGCGGGCGACAAAGTCCTCCATCTCTTCATCCATGGCGTCGCTCATCTTTAGACTTTGTCGTAGCCAATACTGGTCAAAGGTGGCTTCAGTAACCTTTGCGACCACACCAAACTCCTCGAAAAAGATTACTATACTATCCAGCCCTGCGGAATCCGATGTTCGCCTTCCTGTCGAGTCTAGTTTGGGGTCAAACGTAAATGGGTCAAGCGTTGCGACAGAATCTCTGCGAAGCTTAGCTGGATGCTCTGCCAGCATGATGGCCCCGGGTAGATAAACTCTCCGCCGTTCAGCCGCGTCAACATCTCCACGTTGGTGTTTGCGCTTTAGCGTATGGTGGGATTCTACGTTTGGCCGTGCGGAGGAGGGCGAGTGGGTTGTATGAGCAACAGGTCTGACAGACCGGACTGACTTCCGACCCCACGAGCGAGATGAGCGTGGGCTACCTGAGGTTTCACTTGTCCCAAGCCGCTCTGGTGGTGTTGCGTAACATTCTCGCGGTGTTTCTAGCATCGAGCTGGGCGAGGTAGGTAATCTCTTCGACTCAAAGTCCGCCAAAGCAGTGTTCAGAGTGTTTAGCGTTCCAAGCTGCTTGTGTTTCACAGTCTCCTGCCCTCGTGACTTCTCGGGAAAGAAGCCGAGAGCACGCGTCGTACGATGAGGTGTCGCCTCGTTATCCTGGCATGATGGTGGTTTCGGCAATGCCTTGCGTGGTCCCAATCGCCCGTCCCTGGAGACCTTCTTGGTGTCCAAACAGTCCGCAACCCCCTCATCCGACTTCGGCCGCCTTCTCCTTATTGTGTTCGAGTAGCTCAACCTTGCACTGATCGCTCGCCGTGGCTCCAGGGGTGGTGTAGCCTGTGCTTCAAAGCCTCCGGGAGGTGCTGTCTGGGACTTCTTCCTCAACCGTGGCCGATCTATCATGCTCTCATCGTTGGCCCAGGTTTCTCTCCATCGTCTCTCCTCATATCTGAGCGTCGGTGACGTTACTCTGATTGTTGGTCTTACTGGCGACTCTAATTGCGTCGGCGAAGGAGGTGATCTCGGTGGGGTTCGTAGTTGTAGAGCGGCTTCGTTGCCTTCTTCTGCCGCTTCGTCTTCGGACGAACAAGAGGAGGGTGAGAACATCAAATCCCAGAGCCCATCGTACATGCTCATGCTGATGTCGCTCGTAGGGCGGCCTGCGAAGTTTGCAGACGGCAGCATCTCGACAGGCATGTCATAGTAATCCTCTGCAGAGTGTGCCATATTGCAACAATGATGATTAGAAGTGCAGAAGTGAACCAACAGATGCACATACATACACCTCGATGACGATAGCGTTGCTTAAGGGCTCCCTTTGTCTACACATGGCTGCACTGATCCTGCTGTTGCACAGACAGAGGCGGGAATGCATTCCGATAGTTTGGGGGACAAAGAAAGGCATCCGTTTGGGGCGAAGCGCGTACATACACCTAGACAGGAAGTTCTCTATCCGCCAACATCAATTCCGTAGCCCCGAACTCGATCAAAGCTGCTTACATTGGGGGTAGATTCCCGGGCTATAATCCTCTTTCAGCCCGAAATCGCCCCTTGCATATGCGCAGTCGCCGAGCCTCATCAGCACAACCACCAACGCGATCCTCAATAACCGGAACATTTTCCACATGCACGCCGTCTATTTTCGGATGTCCTGCATACGCATGCGCTCATGACATCTTCCTTGATTCGTGTGATGTTTTGTGAGGTATCGTTTGTGAGCTGTATTTTCTGTAGTGTCTACTCATGAGAAAATACTCACGATACTGGGTGGTTGCAAATAACCATTTTGACTTAGAAGCCTACTTGTACGCTAGGCTCTAGAGATATTGCTCTGCAGGATAGAATGTGTTCGTCTAAGTAGATTTGTACACTCTGGCGTATAATTTTGTTTCGTTGGAGTAAATACTGTACATATGTGATAGAACATAACCCCCTGCCATATTCTTGTGACATATCCTCTTGTCGAAGCCCAACTTGTTTATGACAATGTGCAGTATCCGAAGACCCATTCACATCACTGGAGTCTTGCCCAGCGATACTGCGCCCGCGCACAGCATATGTAAACATGATTAATGAATTGCTTGTTCATCGACAACACTTAGTAAATCGCATGAGAATCAATCGGCCTTATGTACTCGGATAGTAGGCCACTATTTCGCTCAAAGGTACGAATGAAGACGGCCAAAAAGATGTATTCATACGAATCATTACATTTACTTATGTATTAACGCCAGTCTTTGACATTAGATGTGCTTTGCCCTAGACACTCACTTTTATCATCACAAAAGAAGCCATCTCTAGCTCACAACATGGGAGTCTCTTCCCTCTCGCCAATGACGTTGAGGAAGGCAGTGTGTACATGGCCAGTCAAGTCACTGGCTTGCAGCGACCTGCCCTTCTCCTTGAACGCCAGCTTCGAGCATTCCCTAGTGATGCATGATCCACCATACGCGGCAAGAGCAAGCGTCTCGCTCCTTGACATCTCAGTGCCAATGTCCCAGATCTTGTCGTGGTATGCTTTCCTGTACGCCAACAGGGTCGCCAGACTGCCGGTGAGAGTGTCACCTTGGCCACCAGAGCGCTTCAAGCCACCCTCGCCCTCGGATACGAGTGTGTGCGAACCGTTGGAGATGTAGTCCTTGGCGCCCTTCTGGATGATAGTCACACCGCCGAATGCCTTTGACAGCTTGGCGCACAGCTCTGAGGGATCGCCTTCGTCGACATTTACGCCCTTGGCCTTGGCTAGCCTTGCGAACTCGACGACGTTGGGTGTGAGAATGCATTCAGTGCAGCCGTCCACGAGTTCCGGCCTTGTCTGAGCGAGGTAGAGACCGTCTGCGTCCAATACGAACGGAATGCCCTGTTTCCTTGCCTCTTGGATGACCTGTGCGCAGGTTTCTTGCATGAGTTCATCGCGACCAAGACCGGGACCAATGACAATGACGTGGAGACGTGATAGCATGGCTACTACTTCCGAGGTGATGCTGTCTGCGCTTTCGGACTTGGCGAGATTCTTCGATTGACGCATGTATGGGTGTACCATGAGGTTGGGGGAGTATGTCTTGATTACCGCACCGGCGCCGGGTTCGCAAATTACATGGGACTGCAGCCAGGTGAGCACATTGTCTGACATGGGTTGATATGGATGTTCCTACCATGTCGCAACCTAGCTTTGCGGATGCCATAGCAGAAAAGTAAGGCGCACCAGTGTAGTCTTCACTGCCACCAATGACAGCTACACGACCCAATTGACCTGTTCGAATACATTAGAATCCACGTCGGGAACTAGTATCATAGACCATTCCTTACCTTTGTGAAAGCTCTCGAGCATGGGCGGTACCATGTTGTAGACCTTCTTGAGTAGGTCTTTTCTAGTTGCGCTGGCCATCTTGAAATAGTGTTCAGGGTGTTGATTGATGTATTGAGTGTTTGTACGACAAAAAGTATCGAGTCTCGATTGTTGTTAATAGCTGCGAGGAGCTTTGCGCGGCTATGGTTTTGTTATGGAGCTCAACGCGCGAAGAGTACGTCATAATGATAGCGGGGCATCCATTGCTCCACGCGATGCGCGCGCCACACATTACCATGATACATGCGCGGAGAGAACAAAGATTTGAAGAGTAGTCAATGTGATCACCGTCAAAAACAGCAGCGGCATGTTCAAGAGATAATTCCAAGTGTTATTGATTGCTAAGACAGTCTCTTACTCCGCTAAAGCTCACTAATCTCCGAGAACCTATGAAAGAAGGCGCATGTCGCAAAGAATAAGCCCGCGTCTTCTCATCGGACCCCAATAACCCTGCTTGTTCAGCACTATATGTATATACACGGATGACCCTATCGTCCAAGTACGAAAGCTGGTGCGCCAGCTGTAGAGATAGCCGAACGCGTTTTGCTAAGGCATGCTCGTACCAACCATCGCAAGCCGTTGCGCTTCAGTATTGCAGTCAGGTTACTGCAGAAAGACAACCGCAACCGAGCCGAAGACGCCAGTTCCTTGCTCATTGCTCATGAGCGCGCCGCGTTTAGGTGGACGCATCATCTGTTGCCGCAGCAGCAGTCTCAGGCTCAGCTGTCGCCTTCTCGACGCCTTCTGCACTCTTTTCAGCATCTTCTTGCGCTGCAGGCGCATCCTTGATGACCTCTTTGTCGGCTTCCGACATTTGCACATCGCCATCCTCGTCAGCGGTCTTGGTGACGGCAGCATCGGTATTAGCATCGTCCTTCTTATCTTCCTCTGTGGTCTTCTCAGCAGACGGCGCCTCGTCTTTGGCAGACTCAGACTTCTCCCGATCTTCGCTCTTGACGCCGTTGGCAGCAGCAGGCTCAGACTCAGACGCCAGAGCAGGATTCCACTTGGAGAGAAGGTCACTGGAGCGCTGCTTGAAGTGGTACGCGTCCTCCATCGGGATAGTTTCAAGCTTCTGAATCGCCCTCAGTACCTTGTGAACCTTGGTTTTCCTTATGACATCGGCCTCGAGATCCTCGTGAGCCTCAAGCTGCTTCAGGTACTCGTCCATGCTCGTCATATCCTCGTCTTTTGGTTTCTGGTCGCGCGAGAGGAAGCCCTTTTGCAAGCGATGACGGAGGTAGAGAACTTGCTTCTCGCGCTTCACTAGCCGCTCCTCTTCGGTCAGAGGAGCCTCCTCTGGTGTTTCAGGCGCAGCTTCTTCACTCGCTTTCTTCTTAGTCTTGGGCTCCTTCTTAGGTTTCGCGGCCGATGCGGACTTTGGTGTCTTGCCAGTCGTCAACTTGATCTTGGGAGTCTTTACAGCCTGTAAGCAAATTAGAGTGCGTAAGTCGACGGGTCTATGCGGTGCATACCTTCTCGTTCTCGCCATCGCTCTGATCATCCTTCTTGCGCTTCTTAGTGGCCTTCGCCTTCTTTGCAGGGGCAGCATCGTCGCCAGCTTCTCCCATCTCAACGTCTTCTGAGTCGTCAGGGGCTGTGCTTTTACGCTTGGCTGACTTCTCAGCCTTCTCCTTCTTCTTTTGCTCCTTCTGCTCCACGTCTTCTTGCATCGCAGATTCGTGGGCAGCCAGCATCTCCTTGAAGTGTGCCAGGTCGTGACCCTCAGCCGCGATTTGATACGCTTCCCAGAGCTGCTTGTTCTTCTTGCCTTGATTGCCAGACTCCACGTCCTTCTTCACCTCCTCGATGTCGAATGACAACAGCTCAGTGTTGACCTGCCATGCGAATTCGTTGGTGCCCAGGAACATGACCGGGTATCTCCGAT